GCATCATAGTCTGGTCCATCAGCTGTTGTTCTAGGCAACCCTGTATTCAAAGAAGCATGTTCTATTGAAAACGGATGTTAATTGACAAGGTATTTAAAACAAGGTGTTTGTATTGGATATAAAGTTCCTTTCACAAAACTACCACCTCACCATTTGGTCAGAAATGGCTAATGTAAAAACACTGATGCCAGTCCAAAGAAAATCCTTTTTAATTGACTCTGACCCAAATACTTCTCTTAATGATGAGTGTAGGGAACTTACGTTACTAGCCACTCACATTCTGCCACCCATCCCTAGAAATAGGTTGCTCCTTAGCCATGTTATGCTAAACAGGCATGTTTGTCAGAATTAGAGCTTGTGCATTGTCAGATTTCTTTTGCACCCAAATCCATTGTGCCAGGAGGTGGCAGGTGGGGTGGGATCTTCAGAAGCAGCTGTCTTTGAGTATGAACTAAGGGCTGAGTGGGATAGCGGAGACATAGTACTTATCAGACACAGAAGCAATCTGCTAGAGCTGATTATGTGCAAACAAGAGGCCAGGGCAAACCTGTTTTAGGCAATAATCATGAAAGCATCTTGCACTGATTTTATACCTACTATGGTAGGCACTTAGTCATTTACTCATTCAACAGATACTTATTTAAATGTCTAAAAAGTGGTCAAAGAAGGTAAGTCCTGAAGAATAATAATACTGAAAACTAAAGTGTATTGAGAACTTCCTATTTGTGCATTTGGCCGGGTGCTTAACTCCCACAGCAGACCTATAAAGCATTATCATTCCAGTTTTACAGATGGCAAATCTTGGAGCCTTGCTATTGAATAAGTTGCCCAAAGTCACACAATAAGTGTTAGAGCCAGGATTCAAACCCAGATCTGTCTGATTTCAATATCTATGTCTCTTACTACATAATGAGGCATCTACTTTTAAAACTATTTTGTCATATGGTTCTATTTGTTGAATGGTTTCCCTTTTGTTTTTTATATCTTCATTTACTGATTTATTGAACAATGATTTATTGAACACCTACCAGATACCAAACACTGTTATAAGTTGGGTGTTGGATTCATCAGTTAACAAAACAGTGAAAAATTGTTGATCTAGAGAAGCTTACATTCGAACAGTGAGAAACAGACGATAACAAGATGAAAATATTAAATCAAGAAATCATTGATTAGAAGGTGACAAGACATTGAAAAAATAGAGCAAGGTGAGGAGAATTGGGAATGCAGGAGGTGTGGAAGTACGATATTACGTATAAGCAAAGACTTGAAGAAAGTGAGAAAGCTAGCCATGAAGACATCTATGATCAGGGGAGACTATTTCAAGAAGAGGAAAAACTACTGCAGGGTTTTGAGGTGGATGCATGCTCGGTGTTTAGAGGAATAACAAGAAGGTGAGATCAGCTGGAGCAGAGTGAGCAAAGTTGAGAGTAGGTATTGATGAAGTCATAGATGTAATGGAGATCAGGTTGAGTAGGGCTTTCGAAGCCATTGTATAGATTTTGGCTTTCACACTGAATGAAATGGGGAACGATTAGAGTTTTGAGCAGAAAAATGGCAGGACCTGACTTGTTTGTTAAAAGAGTAAGTGTTGAGAATAGACTGGGAGGAAGGGCAGGGATGGAAGCTAAGGAGTCCAGTTAAGAGGCTATCAGCATCCAAATGAGAGATGATAATGGCTTGGAGCAGGTAGCAACCATAAAAGTTGTGAGAAGTGATCAGATACTGAATTATTATTATTTTTTTTTTTTGAGACAGAGTCTTGCTCTTGTCACCCGGGCTGGAGTGCAGTTGCTCGATCTTGGCTCACTGCAACCTCTGCCTCCCGGGTTTAAGCGATTCTCCTGCCTCAGCCTCCCAAGTAGCTGGGATTGCAGGTGCATGCCACCATGCCTGGCTAATTTTTGTATTATTAGTAGAGACAGAGTTTCACCATGTTAACTAGGCTTGTCTGCAACTCCTGACCTCGTGATCCACCCACTTGGGCCTCCCAAAGTGCTGGGATTCTAGGTGTGGGCCACCATGCCCGGCCCTCTGAAAATATTTTGAAGGAAGAGCCCTTGCATTTGTTGGTATTTGATGAGGGGTGTGAGAAAAAGAGAAGAGTTAGGGATGACTTCAAGGGACTTGATATGAGCAACTGGTAGGATAATGTTGCATTAACTAAGATGAAAAAAATAAAAAATATGGAAAGAATTCATAAGCTTAAGGGTGTTTCTTTCTTTCTTTCTTTCTTTCTTTTTGGAGACAGGGTCTCTCACTCTCTTGCCCATACTGGAGTGCAGTGGCATGGTGGGCTCACTGCAACTTCTGCTTCCCAGGCTCAAAATGATCCTCCCACTTCAGCCTCCCAAATAGCTGGGACTACAGGCACACACTGCCACACTCAGCTAATTTTAAATTTTTTTTGTAGAGATGGGGTCTTGCTATATTGCCCAGGCTGGCCTCAAACTCATAGGCTCAAGCAGTCCTCCCACCTCAGCTTCTCAAAGTGTTGAGATTATAGGCATGAGCCACTGTGCCTAGCCAATGGTGTTTTCTTTTGGGGGAGGAGTAATATTAGAGACTTAGTTTTGAAAATGTTTATGACTGAGATGTCCATTAGACATCCAATTGGAGACATAATGCTGGACTGGAAATTTGTATTTCGGAATCATCAGCATGAATGGTTTTAAAGCTGTAAGCCTGGAGGATGGCCAGTAAGGTAGATAGTAACAAGGGCCAAGGACTGAGCCTTGAAGTACACTCAAAGGAAAGAGATTAGTGAAAAAAAGGAGGAATTAGCAAAAGAGACTGACAAGTGACTAGTCAGGTAGGAAGTAAACAAAGTGAAGAAAGTATTTCCAGGAAGAAAGAATGATGAACAATGTCAAATACCACTGATAGATTAGGTAGGTTGACAATTGAGAAATGGCCATTAGAGTTAGGACCTGTAGGTCATTGATAAACTTGACAAAAGTTTTGGTGGAGTATAGTGGGGTTCAAGGAGATAATGTCTGATGAGAGTAGGTTTACAAGAGGATGGTGGAATTGGAGGCATTGTGTATAAAAAACTCTTTTGAGATATTTTTCTATAAAGGGAATCACATAAATGTAGTGGCAGGTAGATAAAAAATAAGGTCCAGAGACAATTTCTAAACTGAGCATATTTTTTAAAAAAATTCTGCTCTGTTTTATCTAGCATTTTGCCCATGTCTGTCCGATCTGCTGTCTTGATTGGAATCCCTATGGCCATTTTCCCACCACCCCCAAAAAAGTAAAATGCAAGGATCTCCTAAAAATTAGCCAGAGCACTTTTAACATTAAGCCACCACAGGGAAAATGCAAAGATCCGGGGACAAACTTTTGAATGCCCTTGTCCCCTCTCCCTTTACATATTTGTAGTTTACCTAACCATCAGATATTGAAGTTTGCATTTGAAGCCTACTCTATGTCCAACCTCAAAACCCATGTCTCTCTCTTCATATCCTTCAGGACACTATTCATGGAGACAATTATAGAATAAAAGTGAATCTAAAATTTCACTCAAAACTGTAAAAGCATGTTGATTATCTTCCTATCCCCATGTATGCATTTTCACCATACTCCTAATTGCATTTTAAATTGGTATCTTTTTGCTTCCAAAGTAGTTTACTGGCTTTGTTTTTTTCCAAGCCAATTACCATTACTGCATGTGATGCTGTCATTTAAGTTAATTTAAGCTCACTGCATTTATATTGATAAGCTAAAACATATGAGTACCCAAAGTGGACATCTTAATTAACATTTGAGAATATAAATTTATATTGAAAAGAATCCAGGAAAGAAAGAGGTAGTGATTAAATCGTTAGATGGCTATGAAGAAGAACCAAAGGAAGAGGACAGAGGCAGATCATATCTCCTCTTAATGAATACCAATTCACCATAGTATCATAAATAATGAAAAGATTGTCACATCTCCAACAACATATCACTTATTTTAAGGAGTATAAAACATAATCACTTGAACAGTGAGGTTTCACAATTTTCTGAAGTTAAAATGCTGGGATGTGATCCAACAAACAGATTCCTTGTAGAAAAATCACCGTGGGTCTGTGTCTTAAGCCAATCCAAAACAAAAGCAAACACAATATTTTGTAAGGGATGTAAAAGATTTAACTGCCAAACCAGGTACTTAAATTTCATATAGACAGTGAACCACAGACTATTCAAAAAAGACCCAGTTGTTAAGGAACTATCACTCAATAGAAACATGTACACAGTTAAAGGCAACAAATGGCTCAAAGGTAGCCAGGCTTAGGAAAAAAAGCATTGAGTTTGGAGCCAATAGATTCTCTCTCTCACTCTGCTTCTGCCTGTCTATATGGCCTTACCCTCGTTGACACTATCAAATGATAACATTGCACTAGAAGCTCTTAGAGGCCTTTTCACCTCTCTGCTAAAAGTACTTTTGCCAATAATACTTACAACTTTAATCTGCCAAAAGATATGGAATGGTTGTTAAACAGCCCCCAGTTGGCCTTTTCTTGCTCTAAGCCTAGGATGCATGTGCAGGAACTCTGGGAAAATAGCCTTATCAGTGAAGGTGCAGCTCTCCCACTGCTGTCCCATTTCTCTGTGAACCAGTGTGTTTGGGTTTAATAATGAGGAATGGGAGATGAGATGACTACTATCCTTGGCTACTATCATGACAGCATCCTACTGACACCACTGAAATCCATAATTGTTTTTGCCATGCCTTTTGATCTATAAACATTTTTGATGCCTTTGTTTTTAGTGTTATGTATACTGTGTTTCTCTTATTGAGTTTGTTAATGTATACCTGTGGCATCTATAATCTCTGCTTGTTATCTTCCAGCGATATTTTTAAGGAGGTATTTGATGATTTTGTGTTAGGTTTTCAGTTGATTGCAGCAGTGTTAGAAATTGTGATGTGAAATGCATCAATTTGTATTCTGCCTGTGTTTCCTATTCTAACTCCAAATTGCAATGTCCTATCTTTCTTTTTTGGAAATTTATAGGACCAAATTGAGATTACACAGGTTAAGCACCGTGGACCACAAGACATTCGTGTAACTGCTGTAGATTCTGATTCAACTTGTTGCTCCAGCACAGTTTCCCTGGATAATATTCCTGAATCTGCAGGTAGGTACATTTATGCATTTGGATAGGGACTATCAGAAGAAAAATAGTCACCTACAGGGTAATTACAGTTTTTCACATGAATATAACGCTGTATTTATAATAGTGTGAAATCACAGAGTGAAGTCCAACTTTCTTCATCTCCTGTAAATATTTGAGGTGATGATTTGAGAATAATAAAAATAAGTATTTCATCACAGTTTCAAGTGCTTGGAAATGGTCTGCTCTCCTATGTAATTTCAATCTTCTAAAAATTGATGCTGGATCTCAGTCCTTGAAGGAATAGCATTTTATCTTTTTATACTCATGTAGTCTATTCTGCTATGACACAGTATTTGGATTCCAGAGAAATCTCTTGTCATTGAGTTTTCATGGCAATAAAAGGGGAAAGTGAGTCTCTAAAAAACAGTGATATTTATTTCATGAGTTTCAATATGAAAGACATTTCATAACTATAATTGTATAAAACGTACAAAACTTAAGGAAATGGTGGATGCATAACACAGATCATATCTCCTAATTAATCCTGTCATAAATAATCAGTATGTGGAATCTTCATATATAGAAATAATAAGCTTTGTTTTAATTTTTATTTCACTCTTTTTTCAGTTTTTTAAATCCTATTTTAATATCTTCACTTAACAACTCTTAGTTAACAACTTTTCCATTGTTGCTATCAATCTCAAAGCTGTGTTTTAAAAAATCCTTCAAAAACAATTGATTTTTGGCAGGAGAGGCCAAACTCCATGAACTCATAATTGTGATTTCTAAAATTTATAAGAGCAATGATTACTTTAAACCTATTTATCTGGACTTACCATTGTAACTTTGCTATAGATAATTATTTGTATTTACTACTGTTAAGCCAATGGTCGAGAAATCCTTATAACCTTCCACAGATGACTATTCCAACAAAATGAGCATACTGAGATGGTTAGCAGTTATGGCTCATAAGGTAGAAGTCAAGTAGCTCATAGGTTTCTCTCTGTCACTTATAGATAATTTAGTAGCTTTGTTTACTTGGAATCAGAAAATTAAAAAATGCTAAACTGATTTGGAAAATGGCTTTTAGTGGAAAAAGAGTTAAGGAGAAAGATTTAACCAAGGATCTAAACACTGGAAGTATCCAGAAATCAGAATTTTCCAAAATATTTTCAATGGTCATCCCAAAATCACGCTATGATTAAAGGGCAATTTGTTCACATCCATAGCATGGTACGGTATGCAACCCCACACTGCAAAGAGCAGGTAGGAGGTGACAGAGTGGGTCACTTTGCCTAATCAAGATGTTTCTCTTTTCCAAACTTTTAATCTTGAAATAATTTTGGACTTAAAGAGAGTTGCAAAAATAGCACACAGAAAAAAAAAATAGAAAAATAAGCGAAAGATCCCATTTAGGATAACCTTCGTTTAGCTTCCCCTAATGTAACATTTTACATACCCATAGTACAACTGTCAAAACTAAGAAGTTAACATTGATGCAAAACTTTTAAGTGAGATTCAGCCTTTATTCAGTTTTCCCAGAAAGGTTGTTTTTTTTTTGTTTTGTTTTGTTTTTTTGTTTTTTTTTCTGTTCTGATAACTAACCCAGGATCCCTCATTGAATTTAAACAATACGTCTTTTTAGTTTACTCCAGTCTTTAACAGTGTCTCAGTCTTGCTTCTTTTTTTTTTTTAATCTGATACTTTTGAAGAACATGGGCCAGGTATTTGGTAGAATGTCCCTCAATTTGGACTAGTCTGATGATTTTTCAAGATGAGATTGAGGTCTTGCACTTTGAGAAAGAATACAACAGATGTGATGTGCCCTCCTTAGTGCATCATATCAGAATATACATGATGGAATATTTTATTGCTGGTGGTGTTAACTTGATTGCTTGGTTAAGGTGGTACTGTTTTCCCCTTTGTACTTACCAAATATTTGAGGAGAGGTACACTGATAACATACAAATAATGTTTCCTGTTTCTCCTTAAACTCTCCTTCACATTGTTGCATCATCAGTGGAATTGGCCTGCAGCAGTTACTCCTGTGGTGTTCTAGTGCCAATTTTTTTATTTCCCTCATTCCTTATGTATTTAGAAACTGCAATCTTGCTGTACTAAAGAGTTGTTTCTTGTCTCTCTTTCATTCATTTATTCATTCATTCATTTACATCAGGATGATCTCGTGGGCATTTTTTAATTATTTGGTTTGTAATTCAATACCATCATTTAAAAAAATTGTCTCAACTTTGGCTCATGGGGCTCTTTTAGGTTGGCTCCCTTGTCCTTTTACCATGTCTACGTCTTTTTTTTTCCCTTCACTTCCTTATTTCCATTATTACAAGTTGTTGAAAACAACCCCTTCTTTAAGGAACCTTACTTAGGTCCTTTATTTGGAGAGTGGAATTTAGAAATGAAGATCTGGGTGGTAGTTGCACTCATTGTTACAGGTGTGTCACCATTTCCAAGCCCTCTCAGTGGACAATGCCAGGAAAGATGTCTATTCATACTAACCTGTGCATAAATACAGATGGGTGCAAGCATAAACACCCATCTGTATTTATTTCAGCATGTAACAAACAAAAGCAACAACAACAACAGGAGTTCATTGATATCTCCTACTCCAGTCCATTACCATAGGGTTCATTCTACACTTTTCTGTGTGTTTATTTGTAATTTGTATCTCAGACAGTGGTAAACCTGGCTCTTATTATCTATCATATATTTATTGATTTTTTTTCAATGCATAAACATTCATAAAAAGTAGTTTCACAATTGCTAACCTGTATCCCTTAAGAAACAAATTTACCATTTGGAATAAGTTTGAGAATTAGTTTGAGTGTGCAGGTGGTGGTTGTTGTTATTGTTGTTGTTGTCTTTAACCTTGCAGCATCTAGGCAAACCTCTGTTTTCCAAAGTTCCTACGTCAGCTTCTTTATTTTTCACCCCGTCACTGTGGATATGCCATTTATTTGTAATAGAAGTAGATTCATTTATTACAGGCTGCATTTTCACCTGGGTTTTCCCACCTCCTGATCAATTCATTTTCAAATTTATGTACAACAAAATTCACTATTTGTGATATATAGTTCTATTGATTTTGACAAATGGTAAGAGTCATGTATCCATCACCACAGTACCAAACAGAATAGTTCCATCATCCCCAACATTACTTTGTCCTCCTTTGTACTCAATCTTGGTTTCCCATCCCCTGACAACCATTGAGGTGTTTCACCTCTGCAGGTTTCCCTTTTCCAGAATGTCATGTAAGAGGAATCATATGATATCTAGCCTTTTTGGCCTAGCTCCTTTCACTTAGCAAAATGCATTTAGGATTCATCCATGGTTCCATAAATCAATGATTCATTCCCTTTTATTGCTGAGTAGTATGACATCTTATGAATATACCAGGTCTTAAAACTTCATTCACCAGTAAAAGAATATCTGGGTTGTTTCCAAGTGTTTTTTGATCGTGAATAAACTACTTTAAACCTTTGCATAGAAGTTTTCGTGTTGTGTGCATATACGTTTTCAACTTCTGGGTGTAGGACTGCTGGGTCATTTGGGAAGTATGTGTTTAACTTTATTAGAAACTGACAAAATGTTTTCCAAAATGACTGTACCATTTTACATTATTGAAATAATGTTTTCCACTGTGCTTTTCAGGGCTCCTGAAACCAAGTCATGTCATAACACCTCCCAGAGCACTTTGAGCACTCCTGAGGTCCCACATTCTGGGTAACCCAATTGTTCAGAAGTCATTTATGACTAGATTAATTTGGTTTTATCAGTTGGATGATACCAAATCTCCAGAAGCAGAGCCAAAATAATTTTATAATGAATGAAATGACACTAACAACTGCAGTGGGCTTAAGCACTAGCTTAAGGTGGAGAACAGGCAGTGGTAACTTCACTCTCTCCCTGTTCTTCATTTTCAAATATGAACAGATTTTTAAAATAATATTCTGAATGATTCCTGGCACCTGGCACACCTCATCCTTAACATGGAGTAAAATGACTCTCTTATCCAGTCTTTTTGATAGCATTAATACTTTTGCTTTTAAGTTCTGAACTCACCTGTGCTTTCTTCCTCAACATTATTATCCTTGCAAGGTTTTCAATTTGAGCCTGAGGTGAATCCGTTGTACAAGGCAGAGCCAGTGGACCTGGAGTTCTCGGTGGACCAGGAGGACTCAGTGGACAAGGAGGGCCCAAAGGGCCAGCAGGACCCAGAGAACCTAGTGGATCTGTTGGACCAGACAGGCCTGATGGATTCCATGGACACAGAGGACTCAGTGGACCTGGAGACTGCTGGCACCAGTGCTCAGGTACCTCTGAAGGTCTCAGTTCACTTGCTTCACATATTTATCTAAACAGCTAATCTTGCAAAGCCCAAATTTTCACTCTTGTGATCAGCTTCACTTTGAAGAAGGTATGTTTGTTACTTTTTCAAAACTACCACTATTTCTATTGTACTGGATTTTCAAATGCAGCTGATAACTCAATGGACCTTCACAAACAGGGAGGTGGGAGGTTCTCTAAGTACCAAATCCCTGTGCTCTTCTTAATATGAAATCCCAAGGACAAATAGGAAGCTTAGCTACTAAGAAAAGGTGGTATTTTTAAGAGCCCTGCTCTTAACCACCTGTTAGAGCAGGCTAACCATCTAGAGGGAAGACAACCTTCTGGCCTACTCATACCAACCCTCTGCCTGCACTACAAGCTAGGTTTTCCCAGTGGAATTTTTATTAGGTTAGAGCATGCATTTCAGAGTATTAGATATACCCAATCTTGAAACGTTAGTACCAATGTACAGTGCAAAGCGAAATAAAAATGGTTGGATTAACTTCTGTGTAGCTCCTCTACCCAATTTGTACAATCATCTTTTATATTAGACAGAATTATTAAAATCAGGATTAGAACCCAAGCTAATGAGTTTATGGTCAGTTAATGTGGAATTGCATGCGTTTGTCACTGAGCCTAAGATTAGTCACTCAATTTCTAATGTCAAAGGGATTCTCATCTAATGAAAATAATTAAGGGCTAGAACACAATTGAGTTTGGCCTCAACAGTGTGGCCTTGGAAAATTCCTGAGCCTCAGTTTCTCCATGTTGAAATGGTCTTGGTTTGCAGGGATTTGCAGACAGCCATGAAAAACCTTTGAAATATTTAAAAGGAAATTTCTGTGAAAATTCATTTTGTCCTGATTTATGTCCTTATTATGACAAAATTTGTGGTCCCCCCTTTCACTGTTGACAGGTTTATCTTCTCTTTTGAATTAACTTGTAATTAAATTTTTGAGTATTACTTTTTTGAAAAAAATCACCAAAACAACCAGCAATGTAAGTGTGTCATCTGGCTCTGCATGTGCTAGTGTATTAGGCTTATTTCTGGATGCCATGTATCAACAACCTGGAGTGTATCCGGAAGATGGAGACCAGGATGAGGAAGGGGCTGGAAAACATCTTAATCAGTTGCTGAAGACACTAGAGAAGGGAATAATGGTGAGGGACAGCACAGCTAAATAGTTAAAGGGTCATAAGGTGGAAGATGTGGTTCCAGAGGATCAAGGAAGCAGTCTGGCACTATTAGCCCTTCTCAGATAGATTAGGTCACCTCTCAAAATAGCAAGTCCCCTGTAATTCAGTGGAAAGGTTAGAGCCAATGTTTGGCAGTCCATTTTCCAGGAACAGCAAAGAGAAGATTCCTACTTGGAGAGGGTGAGAGGATGTGATAACCTGTAAAGTTTGTTTCTTCCAGTCCTAAGTTTAGAGGGGTGTGTGTGTGTGTGTGTGTGTGTGTATTGGGTTTTTTTTGGTCTAGTGAATGTCTGCTTTCTTATAGGAAGAGACATATAATACATAGAGAAAGAAGGACAATTTGAACAATTTTCAATGGACTAAAAATACATATATAATTTTTATTCCAAATGATGAGAAAACAACTTGCAGGGTATTCTCTCTCTTTCTCTCAACTCATCTATGTACTTATATTACTCGTAAAGGTTATTGATGGACCACAGTATAAGTCTATTTTTGGTTTCTAGAAGTTGCAAGTGTGTGGACCTTTTTCTTATTTTAATATTGTAAATTATTTATGGATCAGGACTGTGGCTCTCTGACCTTGTTTATGGGCATGGTATACAGCACAGTTCAGGGCAAATAGCAATTGTTCCCAGGCCCTACTTCCAGCCTTGAAAGATAGTTCCTTTCCAAGGATCTCATCTCTTTTCTGTCCCTCTCAGCCAATCAGCTGATAAGTCCTATCCACCTTTTTTGTGTTTGTTTTTCAAGAGACAGGGTTCTTGTTTTGTTGTCCAGGCTGGTTTCGTGCCTCAAGCAGTTCTCCCACATCAGCCTCCTGAGTAGCTGGGATTACAGATGCAAGCCATCACACCCAGCTCAGTTTCTTTTTTATTATTGCTTTTCAAACTTCATTTTACTTTAAGATATTGTGGATGTTAATCTTTTTCTTAGAATTTTGTTTGTTTATTTTTGATATAGTTGTACATGGTTTTGGAGGTAATGTGATATTTGAATACATGTATACAATACTTAATGATCCAATCAGGGTAATCAGGGTAACACATTTTCTTTAGCCATTTGTCTGTTGGGCTAATTTCAAATTTTGGCTATTGTGAATAGTACTGCATGAACATGGGGGTGCAGGTATCTTTTTGATCTAGATTTCCTTTCTTCTGGTGTATACCCAACAGTGGGATTTGTTGGATCATATGGTAGCTGTATTTTTAGTTACATGAGGAATCGCCATACTGTTTTCCATAGTGGCTGTACAAATACATTCCTACCAACAGTATATGAGTATTCTCCTTTCTCCGCATCCTCACCAGCGTTTGCTGTTTTCTTAATTTCTCTCAAATGGTGTCCTTTTCTTTTTATATCATCTACCTCTAGTTTGTTCCACGCCCCTGTTATCTCTACCTTGAATTACTCCTACAGCCTTATAACTGACTTGTCCCAAACTCCAAGCTTCCTTTGTCGCACCACTTCATCTTCTGCACGGGTACCAGAAGGGATGTTTTACAACTGAGATCTGAGTATGTTACATCCCTGATAAGAACACACCTTCTAGCAGCAGTGCCACGTGGCAAATGAATAAAATCTGAGTTCCTTGGCTGCCTGAACCTGTACAAAACTCTGGCTTCTCCTCCATATGTGACCTGCCTTACTCCTTCTGTTCCAGTCAATATGGAGCATCATTTGCCCTGTAACACACTCTCTACTTTTATAAACCTGTATGTTTGCTTCCTTCTAGATGTGAGGCTGTTATCCAAGTTAAAATTAGATTTCCAGGACCTACAGAAGAGTCCACCTAAGTACTGTAATTGTTCATGAGAACAATGACAGTATGTACTTTTCAGGGCTCTGTGAAGATCAGACCTGTGAGTTTTCATACAGTGCTTAGAAGAGTGCCTGGAACAGAGGAAGTGCCAATTGATGATTTTCATTATTGCATTGCTAGCAGGGACCCTATTGGTGGACTGTCATTTGTGATTTGACCTAGGGGTAGAATACTTTGGCACTGGCCTGTGACTTTTCCACTAAGGACTTTAGGCAGGTCGTTTCATGTCTCTGGGCCAATTCTACATCTTTCTTTTTGGGAAAAGAATCAGGTTAAATGATCTGCATGGTCCATTTCTTATCTAGAAGTCCCAAATTCTCTAACCATGTTTTCAAACTTTCTAGTAATGAATGAAATCAGGATTTGAGTGCTACCATTTGCATTCTCAGTCTTTCAGAAATTTTGAAGTGAAACACTATGGTAAGACTTGGAGAAACCACTGTCCCCGTACATGAACCATAAGTAATTCCTCCCCACAGCCATCGCAGCTGTTATCACCAGTTGTATACAGCATCATTAGCCAGGAACTGGACCTGATAAAGAAGTTGAAGGAGCAACTTGAAAAGAGGACTCAGATGCTGCATGATGCCATCCAAAACCAGCAGGATGCACTGGAAGTGATGTTGAATCAGTTTCAGACACGTCAGGCTGCTAGGTTTCAGGTCAGAGACCGTTCTATATAAGTGGCAGATGGAAGAGGAGAGAGGGACCTTGGGAGGCCTTAAGGAGTTAGTCAATAGAGCCTGAAGTTAGTGACAGCTGCTGCCCACAGGGTGACATGGGATATCTAAAGTGATCTCCAATGGGGACTTAGAGTTTTTCCCTTTTGCTCTTGACTACAAGAGCTGAGATTGGCCCAGCCAGGCCTTGGCAATGGTAGGTGTGACTTCCATATAGCCAAGGCTTCCTGCAGGCTTGCCTATGGGCAGTCCTGCTCCATGCCCAGCTTGTCTTGTGCGCTAAGGAAAGTGTGGACTGTGAATAAGACCTTTGTGATACTGTGTCCTTACAGAAGCAGCCAAACACATCACACCACATTGTCAGTCTTGATCATCAACCTTTGGAGGCAGTGCCCATGAAACAGCAGAAACAACACACTGGGCAAGTGAAGCGGTCTCTCCCACATCCCAAGGAGATCAAGCGACTCTGTGATTTATCTTTATACAACTCTCTCAAAAACACTAGGAAGCTTCAGGAACCTTGTGCTGCCTTTACCCAGGTATGGAAATGCTGTTTTAACTGTGTGTCTGAAAGGGGATTTTGTTTTCTTGAGGACTTTGACTCACCTGTTTCTCCTTAAGGGGTAGAGGCTATCCAGTTGGCTGCAATTTATTTGCCCAAGATAGTAAAAAATCCTGGGCTACCTAGACCTGAATGCACATGCTAGACCATGTATACATACATGTACATATGTGCTAGATTAGCAGACTCTCGCTGCCAGGTGTATGGCTGCAACTAGTATCCAGTCTAACAAGTAAACAGTCACAGTATGTGCAGAGAGGCTCAACTGTTGTTGCCTTTTGCTTTGCGAAAATTGAATGGGAGTGTTAAATAAATTTCTGGTAGGCTCTTGCAGACACCAGGGTCCTTTTATCTCTTGCCTTTTGATACAGCAGCAACTGGCACAGCAAGAACAACGTCTGAAGGAGCAGCAGCGGCAGCTACGAAAGCGGCTGCAGCAGCTGAGGGAGCAAAGGAAAGTGCAGAAGCAAAAGAAGATGCAGGAGAAGAAGAAGCTACAGGAGCACAAGATGCAGGAGAAGAAGAAGCTGCAGGAGCAGAGGCAGCAGAGAAAGAATAAGCTGCAGGAACAGAAGAAGTGGCAGATGCTGCAGAAAGGGACAAAGAAGGGCCAGCAGAAGCAGCAGCTGCAAGAGCAGCCACTGAAGCGTAATGTCATCGTGGGGAATCATACGCTGCAGATATGCCTGCAAAACCCAAGTGGTGTAACTGAGCCCCTCTGCAATAACCCTGTTAGATTTTTGCAGACCCAACCCATTGTTGTTCCTATCCAGATAGTAGCTGAACAACAGCTCTCTGGCTGTCAAGATGGAAACTCTGGGCAACAAGAAGATGAGAGTCAAAGGTAAGACATGCATGGAATGGTGATAGGTGCTGTGATCATTGCTTTTCCCTCATGGCTGGATCCCATGCCTGAGACCACAGACAAATGACCTGTCCATGTGACACCAGCAGCCCTCTCATCAACAGCAGCTTGCTCTCAACTTATCTTCTCTGTGGCTACTGCCATCATGCCTCTGCATGTGTAGCACATGGCTAAGCATCCATTGATGGAACAAAGGGGTACCCATGAAGAAAGGACTAGATAAGGAAGCCTCAATGCTAGGGAATTAGCCCACAAACCTTGAAATCACTTTGTTGGATTCCCCAAGCCCGGTCTGTTGCACAGGGCATCTATGGACAAGTCTTTTGTGTCCAAAGCTGAATAACTTCTGGGCTTCCAGTTTCATTCTCTAACTTTCCTGGAATCTGGTGATTCCACTAGACCAAGTGCAGGTATCTCCATAGCATTTATGAAAAGTAGGAGGGAAGTGAGAGTGAAACAATTGCTAAATTGCTGAGATCAGCCAAGAACACGTGAAGGTTGAGTCCTGAGTGGGAGTATAAGGACACAAACACATTTCTGCTCGATAATAAGGTCTTCAGCTTCAAGTGCTAGAAAGAGAAGGTTCTGCTCAGCAATGAAAGGATTGCTTAGCACATAGCGGGGGCCCACTAAATAGTTTTGAATGAATACTAGGTTTCTGAGACGGGTCTCCCAAAGCTCTCCGGACTTCCTTCTGGGCTTTTATTTAGAATCAGTGACTTTGACACGTAGACTGCTTTAGGGCCATATTGCCCACCTGACCTGATCATCAGAATCCACCTGAGGAGGGTGTGGAAAGTATAGATTCAGAGCCTGGATGGGGCTCAAAAATCTATATTGATCACAAGACTTCCAGGCTTAGGGTTGTGTAGAGAGCACTGGATTTGGAGTTTGGAAATCTGCCTTACAGTCTCTGCTCAGCCACTAGCTTCCTGAGTTCTTTCAAGGTAGATGAAATGACTTGCCCAAGGCCACAGAGAGCATAGTTGTGGCAGAATCAAGACTGTCCAAGTAATTTAAATAAAACCATTTGAGACAAGGGATTGTAATTTCTTTCAGTGTCTACATTCACTTTCCTTTGACAAGTTGAGTCTTAGTCAGCCCAAAGTGAGAATACAAACAAGTAAATCCTGTGGTGTGGCTACAAACCAAATGTGCCTGAAGCACCTACTGATGACCATGTGGGTGTCTCATCGGTTATGTCCAGATCCATGTCACTGCAACAGATTATTTCTCTTACAGTTTTCATCCTGAGGAGAATCAGGAGCCCACTATGAGCCACCTGCCATTGGTAGATACCCCAAACTCTGAGGCAATTTCTTCTTCCAGCATTACTCCCATAAGTTCAGACTCAACCATAAGCACCGTGGAGATCCCACAGGATTACGTCCATATTTGGGAACAGCTGTCTGATCCATGCGATCAAGTTGTTATCCAACTGAATACTTGGACTTGCGATGAGCAGGGCACCATGCACAGCCAACCCATCTACCGTCAGGTATGCTACAGCCTTCTCCTTTTCCTTCCAGCACAGGTCAACAGGGATTCTGGGCCCTTTCCTCATAACACACACCCCAAGAGCATGCTGTGTGTGAGAGCCAGACTTCAAAGCTGAATACACTTGAGGGCAGTTACTCACACGACGGTAGCACTCATTGCTGAGTAAAAGTATTCTCTGCAGGGTTCCTCAAAAAAGTGAACTGGCCTAGTGGATCTTGGATGCAATCTGACTGAAACTTCTCTCAAAAGTATGTTACATGGGCAAAGTGAGCCATGCCATTTTTTGAATCTGAGCTCATTGTCTGATCCCAAGCCTCTTGCCAGATTTATGGATCTTTAGTTCTGCTACAAAATCTAGGACCTAGTGTAAGTATGTTTCCTTGCACTAAAAATAAACCTAGGGCCCCTCTGTTTAATGTGTTTGGTATCCGTCTATGGGGTAACCTGTATTCTGAAGGGCAGGCCTACCTTGGGGACCATCTGCAGTGACCATGTTTCCAGGATAGAAGCTGGTCCAGATGGCAGTTACATAGCAGGTTTTGCTCCCAGCAGGCCATGTGGGGACTCCCCACACACAAATTTCACTAATGAGCTGAACTTACAAAAGGTGTTTTCACTGTAGCTTTAAAAATCTTACTATAGCTTAACCTTTTTTTTCTTCAAACAAAAAACTAAACCAAAACAACCACAAGAAATAGTAAGCTAAGGCAAAAAGGAGTTTAAATATTTTAAGCAAGCAAAGGCATGATTATTTTCACATATACACCTTGATCATCCGTGCCACCAGTACTGCAAGAAACTTGGTCACTTAGAGGGACTGCTCACATGGAGAGATCAGAGGGGGAAATAGGTCCTGTGGTTCCGTTACCAAGCCAGACTTTGTTGAGAACTTTTCATGCCTTTATGCCTATTTTTGAGGCACTTTCCCTCCTAGAGGGGATCCTGAGAGGCCAAACCAGCACAAGGCTGAGCACATAGCCCAGGGAAGTGGGGAAGGTCAGATTCTGCAAGGTTGCTCAGCTGGAAGAAAGCAGTGGAAGAGCCAAGGGCAGGACCATGTCAGAGCTTCCCTGGCCACAAATCCTCAAGGGCTCACTGCTATCCTCAGAATGAAGCCTAAGCTCCTCCTCTTAGCGTCCCAGCCCTCACTACCCTGCCCTGGCTTATCCCTACTGCCTTCTGGAACCTTTCTACCTACAAGTTCCCAGACACCTCCAGCTGTCTGCCCAGAGCCCAGCCATGCTCCTTGTGCTCCCGGTGTCTTCTCCACCCCCTTGAGTCCCACTCACTGAAATCTTGCATCACCTTGCAACATAACCCAAGGAATCCCTCCTCCCTAACCAGAAAAGACCTCCACAGCCAACACTTTGTAACACCATCTTTGTATTCATTCTTCCTCTCTCCTCCACACTCCAGTGTGGATTGGTACCTCTTCTGCCATTTTGTTAAAGTGGGTCAATTAGCTGCAAATCAGAGTCAGCATGGAAATCACTGAGTCCAAGGCCCAAGACTAGTGGCCTTGGCTGGCCATGGCTGGCAGAGAAGCTGGAAAAGGGAAGGCCAGACACAGACCCAGGAGCTTTAAGGCAACTTTGAGAAAGTCTGGGTCTGCTTCTGCTGCTCTTTAAGCCAAGATGCTGTTGGGAGAGAGAGGAGCAGATGAACGTCATCTTCTCCAGCTCTCCCGCCTACCATCACCTTGAAGGCTCATGTTCCAAAGAGGTATTTCTCAGCAGCTTGCCTATTTGAACTAAAGGGATCCTCCCACCACCAAAAAATGGGCCCATGAACTCTAGTAAAACATTCCACCTTATTTCACTTTTTCCTGGCAGGTGCAAGTTTCTGACATAGGAGACGAGGAACCTCCTAGTCAACAGGCTTTCCAAGGCCCTGCTGCATACCAGCCAGACCAGATGAGATACTTGACACCTGAGGAGCAGCCTGGCTCAAACAAGTAGCGCTAGCAGTACTTTCATGACCAACGATGAGGGGAAATGGGGGTGGGGCCAAGCCAATGAGGTCTGCATGACCAGGGGACCTTCAAGGTGCATAAAATCCCTTGGAGTAGGGGTTGGGGTTAGAGAAATAATTGTTTCCTGATAGATTATGTTTGTAATTGTTTATTAAGCACAGCCTGTTTCCTGGAAGTTATGCTGCAGAGGCAGCCTGTGATCCGTAGTATGCTAGGGTGTGCCAGCAGGCAGCCACAGCTGGCTCTGGTGTCCCATCTGCCCTGTGTCCTGCTTTGCATATCCATATTCCACCACAGGAAGGTAGTGTGCTGAGAGTTTGCTCAAATTTTTCAACACAAAGAAAAAAGAAAAAAAAATGCCAGAGTCCTTTTTAATCCAGTAAATCTAGAGGCTGTTTTGTCTTAGCCACAAGAATTCTGAAGTCTTGACCCTGATGATCAAGCCCTGCCTTCCCTCCATAGTCTTGCTGGAGAAGCCCAGACAGAATGGGACTCCAACTAAGGGAACCTGAAATCAGCTCAATGGAAGCACTTAAGAGCTTAAATAATTATGGCTTCCTTGCTTAATAAACGTTTACATTCACTGGAGCTTTGTGAGTTGATGAGTGATGTTTGGAACCCGACTGTGCCAAAGTCCCTGGTGAAGGGCTCATTTCCTACAGTTAGGCCCTTTTGAGGATCCTGCTCCCCTGTCTCTGGTTCACACCTCGGCTCCATGCCGCATTTGCAGAGACCAGCGACTGCTGCCTTCACATATGGCCATGTGCCCAGGCCTGCTGTGTAGCCTTTCTTTGTGTAGCTCAGGCATGCTGATTCCTTCATTGACAACAAGGGCAGCCACAAGCCCACTGAGCTTTGAAACAGTTGGCCTAGGGGCTACCTTCTCAGGGTAGATGGTGTTTGTGCCTCACATATTACCTCAGAAGTAAGCCTTAACACTAAAAGACAGTGTACCCATTCTTTTTACATGTGGGTTCTTTCTCTCCCATCAGTAGACTTTTTAATGGATAGAGGTACCCCTTAGAGGGAAAATGATTTTTCTTACTAGTCAGGCACCAAGAAGGACATCTTCGCAGTTGTCTGCATGGTGTAGACAGAGGCTTGGATAGCCAAACCAGGGGTCATTGTGTGCCTTTCTTAAGGTAATGAACCATTGCTGGGAAAAAGCAAGGGAAACCCCAGTCTCTAGTGGCAAGTTAAAATAAAGGAGGCACATTAGGCCTCACACCACAGGAGGAGCCTGAGATTCCTTAGGAAGTATCTCTACCATGGTTTTATGGACTGAATGTTTGTGCCCCACCCCAGATTCATATATTGAAGCTGTAACCACCCAGTGTCAGGGTGTTTGTTTGAAGATGGCACCTTTGATGGGGGTGATTAAGGGTAGATGAGGTCACTAGGGTGGGACTATCATGATGGGATTACTGCCCTTAAAAAAAGAAACACTAGGAACGTTGCTGTGCCCCCCAGGCCCCTGCACATGCACATGGGCACATGCATGCACACATGTACGTACATGCATGCAAGAGGTCATGTGAGCACACAGCGAGATGGTGGCTGCATGCAAGCCAAGGAAAGACGCTCCAGGACAAAACCTACCTTGCCAAAGCCTTGATCTCGGACTTCACAGCCTTTAGAACTGAGAAATGCATGCTGTTGCTGAAGCTACCCAGTCAATGGTATGTTGCTATGGTAGCCTAAGCTGATGAAAACACACAGGCTGTTCTCAGGTGTGTCCCTTTGCAGCCACTGGGAAAGGATAGCTGATGGCTCAGTTGGTTGTCAGAGTCACCCACTGACCCATAGAGGTAAACCTCCCCTCACAATCATCAGATGCAGAACATTGCTAAGAGCCAGTTAACGGTGGCACCAGAGGAGACAGAAGTAGAGTTTAGAGACATTCTTTATACCCTCTGTGACAAGGGACAGGAAGAGTTGGAAGTGTCTGGCATTCTCAGCTGTTGGCAAGAAGTCTCTTGACAGGCCAAATGCAGCTAAGAGGCAGAAGCAGCCACACCTGCCGTCACCTCCCCTCCTGAATGTGCAGGACTGTACAATTGGAAAACCAAGCCACATCTGTCAGAGGAATGAGGAACGTGTGCAAGGGAGTACGAGGGCACTGACTGCTGGCATGCACAGTGGAGGCCTACAACTGGAGCAGGGGAAGGAATGGTGGTAGTGATATGTGAACCCCTTCCAGCTACTCAGCCAGCCTGGTAGAATTCTGGTCACGGGGGAGGCTCAGGGGTTTACTGGGCAGCATCAGTAGCTCCCAATTATAGGCTCAGTTTTACCTCAGGTTCATCACTTAAGTTCTCTGGGCCTCACTTTCTCTATATGAATAAAAGGGAGTTTGGAGGAGATAATGTCTTTCCCACCTAGCTCTTAGAGCAGATGAGGACACATGAATGGAATGGTAGAGCTAAAACAGCCTTAGGGAGAGGCACTGTGAAAGCCGTGGAGGCTGGAGACATTAGGCTGGGGTTGTTGTTTGAATTCAGTGTTTAGAGTGTGCCTGGGCTAGGGTTTATCTGAACTGGGAGAGTCTGTAGTCACCCACTAGTCAACTGCTTACCTCATAGGTCAGCCCTGGAGCCAGGCAACCAGAGGGATTGGTGGCTGACTTGGTCTGCTTTTACCTAGAAATCCTCTCAGGAGTAGCTCCAAGGACAATCCATCTTTTCATTGAGGGTAAGAATGGGTTACAGGGACCAAAAGCCCAGAACCAGTGCTCCTGTGCCAGACTGTCCAGTTGTGTTGTGAATTACTAAAGTCAAACTCTGATGAGTGAATGCTCTGTGACCACTTATGCAGTTCCAGGGTTGAACCCCTGTTTTAAGGCATTCGTGGTGCCGCTGGCAGGCCTGTTCCAGCTTGCTCCTGGCCTAGACACCTTACCCTTGGCTGCCTTAGCAGATCAGTATCTCTGCCTGGACTCAGTTGGTGCTTATCTTTTTGCTCATTGTCCCAGGCATGAGCTGTAATTCCCCCAGCTCCAGAGCACCAGGGAGAACAGTCCAGGGTTTTCGGAGAGGCAGACAAGGCACAAGGATGGCAGTGTGAAAACTAAGCAACAGGGCTTATACCAGCCTTGCCCAGGGTAAGAGAGAAGTCTGGGCACAGCTTGGGTCAAGAAGGCCTGTCATAGACCAAGCTTTCAGGGTCACAGCTCACACTTGAAGGCAGTATGGCTGTCCCCATGGTCTGTGCTAGGCTGCTCCATGAGGCTCTGGGGGACTCTGCCATTCATACCACAAAGTTTCGCCAGGTAAATCTTCAAATGATTGCTTCATCTGGAACTACTCTGGACAAACATTTTCTGTCCCTTGGTCTCCCTTCTATCCTCACATACTGCATGCACACAATGTACCCCTTCTTTACCCTCAGGCTCTTCTTGGGGGTGAGGGAGAGAACGGTGGGTGACGACATGTCTCACCAGCAGCCCAAGGCCAGGCTGACCCCAATTAAGAGGTTAGGAGGGCAAATCTGAAGGTGCAGCAGTCCTTGAGTGCAAGACCCCACTCCCAGCACCTCTAGCCTTGGCTGATGGGTGGCAGCCTCCTTCTTGGGTGTCCTCAGAGTTCCAGCAGCATTCTGTCTCATGCTTTGAGCACAGTGGCTCACACACTACTAGATGGCTGAGTACCTGGCTTTGGCCAAAAGGGCTGCCTGTTCCCAGAGGTTCCTGGCCTCTGCTGGGATGTGGCCTCCTGACTTGCTATAGCAGCCCAGCCTGCACGAGCTTCCCTTTTGATAGTGTAGAGGCCCAGAGGGGCCAAAGCACTGCAAGTTTGTTGGCACAGGGATCCTGCAGCAGGAACCCATCCCTTCTTTCCCCTCCCGTTCCTTCCAGCAGAACCGCCGATACCACCTCCAGATCCAATGCCATGCCAGAAAAGGAGGCCCAAGCCCAGGCCTTCCTCCACCCGTCGACACAGCCACTAGCAGCCCCAGGATTGAAAGTGGGCAGTACTGGGCCCTTTTCATTCTCCTACAAGTTGATGGTAGTTCAGTTTGCATTTCTTTACCTCTCCAGCATGAAGCCAAATTGGCTTTACCTGTCTGGAAAAGTGCAAGAGTTGCACTTGCATGTGGGCTGGTAGGGTAGGGGAAATTGGAAGACCATGACAGAGGTAGGCCAGCCACGACACATGGCAGAGCTTCCAGAAACAGCCACTGCAACCTCCACATCAGTTCATCACCAGGTGGGCAGAACAGCACTCCTCATTGAGCAGTGCTCAGTCTGTACATAATAGAACATTGCATGCACAGACTTGAAGCTGAATATTCACGTTTTCTAAACACATCAAACATTCATAAATATTCTGATTCCCAAGAGCATTTTCTAATAAAGAAGGAAGAATGTTATTAAAACTACCAGCCCCAGTTCATGTTTGTAGCACACAGCACAGCATGGGCTGATGCCCAATGTGGTGTCTTCAGTGTGTTTTGAAGTATATTTTGAAGACAATGAAAAGGAAGGTAGCTGTAGAATGTTCTTGGATATGAGTTTTGTTCATCTCTGCCAAAATCACTGGGAAGGAAAGGTTGGGGAAGAAAGGCTGGAGTGACGGGAAGCGGGTCGGGCAGACATGGGAACCGGGAACTGCTGCTTCAAGCCAAACTACCTAGGAGGGGAAAGGAGGGAGCTGGTCCTCCAATGCCTTGGAATGCCACTCTACCCTCAACGAAGATTGCAGCCTACTCTACCCCATCTCTTAAAATGGGCTACATCAACCTTAATAAAGACTCTCCGGTTTGCAGCTAGGAACAAATTAAATATTCCCTAGGGGATATTAAATAATTGGGATTTTTATTTGGTTTGTTTTAATGGGCAGGGAAGACAGCGTTGAGTGGTTCTCCATTGCCTATCAAATAGAATCCAGGTTCTCCATCCGACCTGGCCTTGCCCTTCCTCTGCAGCTGCATTTCTCTTCTCCAGTCATGCACTTTGCCCCCAGTCCCCTGAGCCCTTGGGTTTCATAGACTCCCTGGGCCTTTCTGCCCTTGTATGTTTGTCACTATTCTGTATGCTTGAATGCCCTTGCCTCCCAGCTCTACATTTTCAACCCTTGCTCACCACCATGCAGATCCTGGCTGGGAAGGAGCCCTGCTCCATGTGCCCCTACTGCCTCCTGTGCCTTATTTGGAGCACACAGGCCATTGCCCTTCTACACTGAGCTACAGTGGGCAGAGATTGGGACAGATCTTGGATACCCACACATAACATAGCACCTTGCAGGTGAGACTTCCCGCTATGAATGTTCACAGCTCTCAGGCCCCAGGAAAGCCTTCCTCCTCTGCTCATTTTCCATTTAGGTAGAGCTGTTCTTAAGCTTCTGAACATTAACCAGAAACCTTGCAGCCCTTCCTCAGGCTTCTTCCTCAGGGCTGAACTCCTCAATGAGGGACCGTCAGACCTGCTGGCATGCCCTGCAATGGGGGTGCAGTTCTGACCCTGGGACTACAACGTTCCTATGGGGCTGGGGGCACAAGGGAACTTGGTAGATGAGACAGCAGGGTGTAAGTTATGAAGTGTAAAGCAATGCATACAAGTTGGTGAGCATCCCTGGTGGTGACTATGATTA